CGAATTTGGGGTAGTGCGGATGCAAATCGACGATATTGGCCTCTGGGAGCTATCCCAGAGTGCTCCGTTGTGACCACTCTGGACAGCACTTTGAACTCCGATGCACTAGCCAGATACACAGGAAAAGCCCTGGGAACTTTTGAATTTCATTTCCTGTTTGGTCAGCGTGCTGAACTCAGCAGCATAGGTGACCATGCAGTCCCCCCAGAATCGTAGAGCATAGAATGTTTCTATGCTCCCCCATCATCTCCATCCCTGAGGTTATCGCAGATTAGAAGGCGAAAAAAACTGCACTTGCGATGACATTTTCTGATCGCATGCAGTCCTCCCGCAGTGATAGGGCACAGCTTAATGCATGGAGGCATTCAGTGGCAGAGGCCAGGAAAGAATTAAGCGAGTGTGGAGAGTGGAGGCAGGACGAGATGCTGAGGCTAATGGGGGAGTAAACGGACATGATGAAGCGTCTCTTGGGGGAGCAAACGGACATGATGAAGCGTCTGTTGGAGCTGCAGGAAAGCCAACAAGAGCACAGAACCCCGCTGCATCCACTGTATAACCGCATGCCCTCCTCCCCAAGTTCCATATCTGCCTCACCCAGACGCCTAAGAACGCGGGGGCAGGGGAGGCTCTGGGCACCCAGCCACTCCACTTCAGAGGATGGCCCAAGCAACAGAAGGCTGTCATTCAAACAGTTTGCTTTGTAGTGTGGTTCCAATAAGCAACGTGGCCTTGTCCTTTCCTCCTTCTCCACCCCACCCGGGCTACCTTGTCCGTTATCTCATTTTTTTTAATTAATAAAGAAAGAATGCATGGTTTCATAAAATAGTTACTTTATTTCGAAGGGGGTAGGGTGGTTGGCTTACAGGGAATTAAAATCAACAAAGGGGACGGGTTTGCATCAAGGAGAAACACACACAACTGTCACACCGAAGCCTGGCCAGTCATGAAACTGGTTTTCAAAGCCTCTCTGATGCGCAGCCTGCCTTGCTGTGCTCTTCTAATCGTCCTGGTGTCTGGCTGCTCAAAATTGGACACCAGGCGATTTACCTCAACCTCTCATCCCACCATAAACGTCTCCCCCTTACTCTCACAGATATTATGGAGCACACAGCACGCAGCAATAACAATGGGAATGTTGGTTGCGCTGAGGTCTGACCAACAGTGCCAGAGAGCTTTTAAACGTCCAAAGACACATTCTACCACCATTCTGCACTTGCTCAGCCTATAGTTGAACTGCTCCTTACTACTGTCCAGGCTTCATGAATGGATCCCCCGAGCAGGAGAGCAGAGTTGCAGCGGAAGCGGTGGATGAGGATGGTTAGCAGTCCTACTGCACCATCGCTGGGGAGCAGGAGAGCAGAGTTGCAGGGGAAGTGGTGGAGCCGTACCCTGGAGGTTGCTAGGAGCTGGGCAGGGAAGACGTTCCCAGAACCCCCGGCCAAGCTACATGTCCGACGAGGATGGTTAGCAGTCCTACTGCACCATCTGTTGCAAAGGCAAGGAGCTACTGCTGTGTAGCAATGCCAGCTGCTGCAGGTGCTTCTGTGTCAAATGCTTGGAGGTCCGGGTAGGGCAAGGTACCTCAGCCAAGGCAAAAGAGCAAGAGCCCTGGAGCTGTTACATGGGTCAACCACAGAAGTGCTATGGGGTGTTACAGCGCCGACCGGACTGGAATATACGGCTGCAAGACTTCTTCACCAGCGACAAAAGGACAGGAATATGATGCACCTAAAATCTAAAAAGGCCCACACTTTTCCCAGAGTCACTACCCTTGATAACAGAATGTCAATGATTGCATTGGCTACTTGAATCACAGCAGCCCCCACAGTAGACTTGCCCACAACAGCAGCAGTGACGGTGAGCTGAGTGGGCTCCATGCTTGCCGTGGTATGGTGTCTGCACAGGTAACCCAGGAAAAAAGGTGCGAAACGATTTTCTGACTTGCTTTCACAGAGGGAGGGGCAACTGACATGTACCCAAAACCACCCACGACAATGTTTTTGCCCCATCAGGCATTGGGAGTTTAACCCAGAATTCCAATGGGCAGTGGAGACTGCGGGAACTGTGAGATAGCTAGCCACAGTGCACCGCTCTGTAAGTCGATACTAGCCACGGTAGTGAGGACACACTCCGCTGACTTAATGCGCTTAGTGTGGACATATGCAATCGACTGTATAAAATCGATTTCTAAAAATCGACTTCTATAAAATCGATCTAATTTCGCAGTGTAGACATACCCTTAGACTGCTTTGGGGATTGGATTGAGCCCTAAGTCAGCAGTCATATGCTCTATGTGTTTCTTTTCAACCAGCAGCACAGCCTTCCTTAGGTATAATTCAAGGATAAGGAAGTTTACTAAGGCTATGGCTACACTACAGAGTTTATTCTGATGCAGCTATGGCACCATAGCGCTGCTAGTGCAGACAATCTAAGCCGATGAGAGAGAGCTTTCCTGTCAATTTAATAACTTCAGTCCCCATGAGTGGCGATAGCTATATTGGTGGGAGAAACTCTCCTGCTGACATTGCGCTGTCCACCCTGGTGCTTAGGTCGGTGAAACTTACATTATTTGGGGGTGGCTTATTCACACCCCTGAGTAATATATTTATACCGACTTAAGCTGTAGTGTGTATGTAGTCTAAGAAGCTAATTTAGCTGCACAAGCATGCACAGTAGAACAGTAATTAAGTGCAGCTCAGTAGATCAGGCATTTAACTACGAAGCTAAGTTACCTACAAACTTTAGGTAGCTTATACATGTTAACATCTTTTCACTGTTACTATATACTTTTATACTATCTGTGGTGTGAAGTATAAGCACTGTTTAATGTGTACTTTACTTATAAGTTTCAGGGGCACAGGGTAATACACAGAACTGCAAGATACTTTACATGTGCACCAAAGGCCTTAATCCTGAAATTTACAACAAGTAAAAGGATTGTTATGCCTATTCATAGCCCCATTGCCTTCAGCAGGGCTCCATGCTGGTGCCAAAGCCGGGCACTGTAATTTGCAGGGTTGGGGCTTAGACGATAAAACTATATCATATATTGAAATAGTATGTGCTCATGTAATTAAAGAGTATATTATAAAACAGAAGCCAAAAAGGATCTGAATTAAAGCTGCATATGCAACCTTAACTTTTTAATTTCTGATGTTTAACAATGTAAACATACAATCTCACAGGCTCATTAACAGTCTTTTGTATGAAGTATTTCTTTTTACATGGAAAAGAGAAACAAGGGAAGGACATGTACGCACCAAGACTTGAAAGCTCTGTAGCTTTGATAACAAGTTGGCAGTAGGTCATGTAAATTCTGTAATTCAGAACCAATTCTCTAGCTATTACTGGAATGACTGGTCTCCTAAAATTAGGAGGGCCCATAAGAAAAATGCTCTTTCCTTGTGAATCTGAGTACCTGTAGAACTCCTGAAGTTCACCATACCAGATTTTCCTCTTTCTCATCTTACAAAGAGTGAAGAAGCCATCCTAATCTCTTTGCATAGTATAATTCCACGTGGACTAATCAAGAGAACCTCCAAATTCTTTACCTCACTCAAGGTACACCTTCAGTACACTTTTCACTAGGTAGCTATGTTAGTTGGCATGCAACCAGCTCCGCCTTCCTTAGCATGCACTTTGTGAGCTAAACAGAACATCCTGCCCAAAAACCATATATATATATATATAGCATGCAATTGTCAAAATTCCTGAAAAGTCAGTAACATCTGAATCAAATTTCACCAGAACACATGAAGGCAATTCTCTCGGGAGGCTATTTCCATGCCAAATTTCAACTTCCTACATCTAGTTATTCTGGTTGTAGAACTATTAATAAAAGTTTCAATTTTTTTTATTATTGGAAGTGCGGGGGGGGGGGGGGGGGGGGGGGGAAGGAGGGGAGGAAGAGACGAGGAAAGGACTATTCTCCCTCTAATAAAAAATAGCAAACACTGTTCTTGTTCAAACTTAAAATAACAACCAACCAATAACCACCACCACAACACTCTCTCTCTCTCTCTTTCTCTCTCTCTTTTGGCCAGAGAACAGAGATCAAGCCTGGAAAAGTTTAGCCCACGATGTGAAAGTTTCAGAAAGGTCTGAACTATTGAATACAAGAGGTTAGAATGAAAATGTTACATAACTATAGCTATTTCTTCTGTTGCCCAATACCCAACGATATGAGATTGACATAGAAATACAAAGATTAGTCAATGTAAAAGTACTTTTACTTCCTTTTCCCTGATAAGGGGAGGACTTTAATGAAATACTAATTCTATTTAATAATTAAAAATACCACCACTCACCCAGGAATGTACAAAATAAACAAACAGTGGTCATAATCAGGTGATCTGAGATATAAAGTAAATATATTCAGTTCACAACAGTTGGAGACATGGGGCATGGCATGTAAATTAAGGTTGCCTGGAGTCAAATAATATCTTGCTGGGTTTGCCCACTAGCATAAGAACAGCCCATATTACTTTGTCAGTTCAGAAACATTTTCAACATTTGTTTATCTGTTCTGTTTTAATCAGTGAAAACAAAGTTTCCATAATGTATGTATTAATAGAGGATGCATTGCTATTTCACAACATTCAAGGCTAGGAGAATGTGACTATGTACAGTTAGTGGTATGGGGGGAGGGAGGGAAGGAAAAGCTGGATAGATACTCGACCAGAAACAGGACTTACTAGGAGGAGGTCTTGCATGGACCTAGGCATACTATGTCCCACATGCTGATTTTTTGAACAGACCTGTTGCCAAGATAAATTTTCCTTGGACTCTAGAATTCATAGGATGTGCTTGGCTTTTGTCAAGAACACAGCAGTTTCTTCCCCACACAAACAACTCTGCTCTAACTAGGCAGGACAAACTGAAAGAATGCTTCACTAATTATTTATATAAAGACAAAGATAGCTGCAATCTGGAAGTTTCATAGGATCTGGAAGTTGTGTTTTTTTTTCTTTTGGTCTCACTTTATTTTTACTAACTTTCAGGGCTGCCTTGTCAGAATACACTGAACAACAACTGGCTATTCACGCATAAAAAGGTAATTTAAAATTTTATTACTTTCCCCAATACTCAGATCTTTAATCATTTAGTTATATATTGCTTCAAGATTTTACGACTGTTGGTATAATGGTAAGATAATGATATAAAGCCCAATTCTGCAAATCTTACATATGTGAACAGCCCTTACTCATTCAAATAGTCCGATTGATTTTATAGGATTACTTGCATGAGTAAGGACTACACAAGTAAAAAAAAAGGTTAATTTTTTACATGAGAAGAATAGGTAGGGAATGTGTTATCCTGGCTCCAATCCTGCAAACATACACACAATAGTTTTATTGAAGTTAGTGTGGCTACTTCTGTACTTCTAGTTGAACACGTTCATAAGTGCTTGCAGAATCAGAGCTTCAGTTACTTTGTTTCATAAATGATTCCCCCCTTTTTAAAAAATATGAAATAATCTGGCCAAATGTAGGAGGGGGAAAAGACATTTCCCAAGAGTAGCAGTGAAGATTTAGTCTCACACACAAAAAAATTACATTTATATAGTTCCTTTTATCCCAAAGAATCCCAGAGCATTCTAAAAATTATACACTGAGGATGTAGACGTGGTTATGTGTATTCCCATTTCTCGCTGCTGCCACTTGGGAAAAAAGGGTGGGTTGGACAGAAATAATGATAATAAAAGAACTAGAAAAAGGCGTGAGGGGATCATTGCAAAGTTTTTGCATATTTACCATCATTTTCCTCTTCCCCTAACGTGAGCATTAAATGTAGCCTAATTTGAGCTGAAGTGTGGCAAATGGGAACACAACACATATGTTTAGGACAAGAAGTGAAGAATAACACATCCCATTGAATCAACAAGATGTATTTTAGGTAGGCAGAAGGTAACATGCCTGATCCTGCAAACGCTTATGCATATTCTTGAATATTGCACATAGTCCCACTTCAAATTAAGTCTGTGGATAAATGTCACCAGGATTGGGGCCTCTATTTGGACTTTGATATTAGTATTTCTCTTGTGAGAAGTACCATGTAATTTTTAATGGGCACAAGCAGTCTGGAGTTGGACCTGTGTCTCATCCCAGAGATTTGATTGATTGATTGAGATTTATAGAAGAGTTTAATGCACAAATTATGAGTCAATAATGTAATACAGTTGCAAAAAAAAAAAAAAAAAAAAAAAAGGATACATAATTCTGGGCTGTATTAGCAGGAATGTTGTAAACAAGACATGAGATATAATCCTTCCACTCTGCTCAACACTGATAAGGCCTCAACTGGAATACTGTGTCCAGGTCGGGGCACCACACTTTAGGAAAGGTGTGGACAAAGTTGGTAAAGTCCAGAGGAGAGCAACAAAAATGATTAAAGGTCTAGAAAACATAACTTATGAGGGAAGATTGAAATAAAGTTGGCTTTGTTTAGTCTGGAGAAGAGAAGACTGAGGGGAAACATGATAACAGTCTTCAATTACATAAATGGTTGTTATAAAGAGGAGGGTAAATTTTTTTTCCTTATCCATTGAGAACAGGACAAGAAGTAATGGTCTTAAATTGCAGGCAAGGGAGATTTAGGTTAGAGATTAGGAAAACTTCGCAACTAGAATGTAGTTATGTACTGGAACAAATTACCTAGGGAGGTTGTGGAATATCCATCAGTGGAGTTTAAGTAAGGTTAGACAAACACCTGTCAGGGATGGGCTAGATAATACTTAGTCCTGCTTCAGTGCAGGGGACTGGACTAGATGATCTACTGAGGTCCCTTTCAGTTCTACGTTTCTATGATCCTATGATTACTCTAACCATGCTGGGATCATGGCTAGAAAAGAATGCATAGGGGAAAATGCTATATGTATTGGTTCACTAACACAACTTCATGCTCATGTAGGTTTTCCGTAAGTGTCCCATTAATGGCCCTATGCTGGAATGTGAGATTTGATGGGCTCAAATACAGAGAAATTTTGTTTCAAGGAATCAAGCATCTTGTGCAAAGCTTTCAAAATGTAAGGTAAGAGTGTTCTATCTTTGAATTTCCTGAGTTTATGTTGTAATTTTATTATTAGATTAGCAATAGGACCTGCTTGTGCCACCGTTTGGTTGAATAATATTTAATCACAGAAGCAATCCCACTGAACTCCTTGAAAGAGCGGCACAATAAACTCAGGCCCAGATCTTCAAAGTATTTAGGCACCTAACTCCTATTGATTTCAATGAATTGGGTACCTCAATCCTTTGAGGATCTGGGCATCAGTAATTAAATTTCCTTTATTTTAACTTGGAGGAACACTCAATTTCCTTCCTCTTTAACCTTCCCTTTAGAATCCTGAATGAACTACCCCAGTGATCTAGGTAAGAAGAGTTGTATAAGAACATCTCTGAAGTTCATTAATTCAACTCATAACTGGCCAGAAAGTTTGAAGTTTGGGCCAATCCCACCACAAAGGCTGAGAGTGTTGACAAGATAGAATTTCTAGTCTCTGCTGGCCTGAGAAGCAAGATGCCAAGTCTTGTGCATAGCAGTGAATGGCATACAGATGCTGGGCCAGCCCAAGTTTGCAACTTTAATATTCATAAAGTGGAGCTGTTCTAGCTAATGATTTGATCATATTAGATATTTTGGAACAAAGTTTTAAAATTTTCATACACAGATCAAGTAACTGCATGTCTAACTGATCTTTATTTGTAGACAAAAATTACAAGTTTTGCCCATTGCATTTTGTAGATACAAGTTTAGAGACCAGCTTTGAAAATTTTGTCCTGTACTAGGACTGGGTGAATAATATGCAATTTGGTAATTTCTGTTTATTTCAATTGTATGAAATATTTAAAACTTTAATAAATTGTTACTTGCTTAAATTTAGATTTAATCAACAGATTGTAAGGAACAAATCTCTCAAAGAGCACTTTGAAGCGTTTCTGAAGCTATTTTACAAAATCAAAATTTCTGCCATTTAATTTGTTTTCAAAATACCACAGGTTACTGTACATGACTTACCAGATGTTTTATCTTTTTAAAGATTCAAGTTACATCTGAGTTATAAATAATTTTTTAAAAAGCCACAGCCAACTCAAGTTTTGGGTGAAATATGGCTAGATAGTAGTTCCTTATACAGTGAATTTAACAGAGTAAATGTTCATGGTTGAATTATAATTTTCTGAAGATCAGAGATGTAACAGAACTAAGATCATGTTCTTAACAGTGTATATGAGAGAGTTGTTAAGCAGTATCTAGTCATCTTTTAACTCCGCCCCTCCCCATTAATCCTCCAAAAGTATTTAATTTCTTCCCAGTAACAAAAATATTTTCAACATCATGGTCCACTTGAGCAAATGTTAATCTTCCCCGTAGTTCAGCATATGTTGTAGATGCTCTGCACATCACTACTGGTGTCTGAGATTATTAATATTGCTTTTCTAATCAGTAAAGTTAGTAGCAATAAAACCTTGGCATTGGTAGGAATAAAGCCAAATGCACATTTCAGTAATTAATTTTGTGGCTATAAACAGCTACATTGTATTCCCACTGACAATGACAGGGAAGCCCTAGCCTACCCAGCAATCACACTTTCCTCTTGTGTGTGTATATATATATATATAATGAAAAGCATTCACACCTGAGAACTCCACAATGGATTCACTTGTGAAACAGAGCAAGATGAGAAAGATGTGTTCTGTTGTATATTTCTCAAATCAAGCCCTTGCCTTTACTTGGGCCAAATGATGAAAAACACAATCCAGCTTCTTTTCTCCCCAGCAGTATTTAATTACCTCTAAGGCCTGTAGTAAAAGCTTTGGCTCATTGACTAATTGAGAACACTTGCCCTAGTTTGCAATTAGTAAGAATATCCCCTTTTTAAATATGTCCTTATACTCTTCCATGGAAAGGTGGGTTTACCCTTAATCAGCCAAGATCTTAGGAACTGCACAAATTAAAGTATATGCAGGTTATCTTCTTGCTTTAGGGGATATTCACCACTCTCTGTGTTCTTGTGGAGTAATAATGAGATACCATAACCAAACAGTAGAAGATGCATGTCAGATGGTTCTCCAATAACATTAGGGGAGAAAAAAGCAACTGATGTATGGGATATTGAAGGCAGATTAAGTTGTTAATGTATATTAGTATATTCTTAATTTCCTTTTAATTGAAAAAGACATATTGACTTTAATTAGAACCATTTCACAGGAACTGTCAATTAGCACATGTCAAAGTAGTTAATTCAGAACAGAATTGTTTTAATTAGGGTCTGCTTTCCTTTAACTGTGGGGCCAATGAAATCAGCCTTTCCTTATCAAGGTTTTAAATGTCTCTAAGACATACAATACAAGTGTAGTCTCTTATCTATTATTAGAAGCCCATATGGATAACATTAAAATGATGATGCTGGCATTGTTCATGCAGCACAAATCACAGTTTCCTTTATTACAGTTTGAAAAAAAGATGGCTTTGAACAAAGACCATTTTAAATACAAAGATTTATCCTACTTTTAAGAGACTACAAAATTTATGACATACATGTTCACATGTAAAGTATTATTTAATACGTCTACTCAAATAAATGGGCCTAGTCAAACATTGTGTGTGTTCTGTCAGCCAAAGACACATAAAACATTGTCAAAGCATGCAGTAATATTTTCCCCTTAAATGAACTATAATCAAAAAGAGAAAACAGTCTCAGCGATTATTTTGGACAATATAAAACCAGCATTGTTAACTTTCATTGCATGCAAAGATGTAACACCGATTGCTAATACAGTGGCTGAAAACACTAGTGAGCTAATGTGATCTCAGTAATCAGACAATCTGAGTCTTGATTTTCACAGTATAGTTTCTAAATATGTTTGAGGTGACTGATGTACCTTGATTCATAGCTGACACAAGTAAGGTCCTCCATTTTTGTCTACCAGCAGGCGCTGTGAGCTGTAGTATTGGTATACCATCAAGTAAAAGAACAGCAGAGGAAAATATATCAAAAATGTAAAAAGAATTAATATGAAATCTAGACTTAGTTTTATCATATGAGGGTTAGCCACTGTTTTACTGACCTACATCAATTGAGGATTACAGAGATTAGTGAAAGGAATACTTAATAGCTGAACTGTGGATTCCAAAGAGGATTATCTGGTAAGATATTTTATGTATCCTGATGCTTTATTGAACTTATTAAGGGCCTGATTAACTCAACAATAAGAGTAACATCATTTTCCAAAATGGAGTATGATATGAGTATACTAAAATTAAAAGTATACCAGAAGTATACTTCATCTGGTATGTTAATCATACTGTATTCTTGTACTGGAACTATTTTGGTATATGAACTGTAATACAAATTGCAGGAAGCCTTGTGATAAAAAACACTTAGGTAAGATTTTTACAAATCCTGGAGAAGTGGGTGAACTTTCACTTGACAACCTCTTGAATTGAATAATTGGAATTCTACTGAAGCCTGGGTTTTCTGGAGATCACTACAGAATCAAAAAGAGCCTCTTCAAACACTGTAGTTAACTGCTTATCATTCTATAGGAGGTGTAGTTTGAGCACAACTTAACAATTGTATCATTACTTTTTATGTTACCTATTTACAATTATATGTTAGAATAAGACCCTTATATTCATTCATTAATCCTATTGTGGCCCATTTTAAATCTCTACTTATCAGTTTAAATACTTACCATAATTTAGAATTCTTTTTTAAGCAGATCTAAGGCACATTGGCACTGAAATGCATAATCCATCCTCTTTTATACCACAGAAGAAACAATGCTTTGGATTCTGAACATATAAATTTGCTTGCACTATATTATGTATTTCAAAAATTAACAATAGCCATATCTGTATCACACATGTTTTAATATCACTCTAATACCCGTTGTGGATATGAAGTTTTGGCATACTTACAATATAGCTATGCAGTGTAAAGCAATAGTCATTGCCATTACCATATTCAGATCATTATGACTGTAGGAAACTATATTTTATAGTCTGGAAAAATTAGGCTTAAAACTAATCAATCACCACAACACCCTTGAGAGGTAAGCAGTAACATATTCTTATCCCTATTTTACAGATGGGACAACTGAGAGAGTTAAAGAGAGAAATGACCTACCCAAGTCACAAAACAAGTCAATCCAGGAGTAGAACTCAAGAGCTTTTGGCTCCCAGCTCCACATGCTTACTTTGGATCATGCTACCTTGCTGCCAATATACGACAGTAATAACAATTTACTGCACATCTCAATAAAGTGCAGTATGTTCTGTGTACTTAAGCAGAACAATGCATTTTTTTCTCATTAATACTAAGTCTATTTGTTGCTCAGCAGGACTAATATTTATACATTCTGGATCTTGTGATGAAGTAGTAAGCTCTGATTTCAGTTAAATCTGACAGGTTCTGATAGCAAAATGTCATTATAGAACTTCAAAAGCACTTGCTCCATAGCAAGATCTTTACAATTATTTACATAATATCTTTCAACTCCTGTTGGCTCCTTGATCTTCTATGGAAATCCCAACTCCTCTGCCAGTTTTGGTTTATGAAAAGTTGACCCTTAAGGCATAACTATTTAAAAAAAGATATGCCAAAATGTTACAAGATATAGTAGATTTCACCCAGTTTGATATCCTTTCTGGAATACGCACTTAATAAAAATTGCATTTTTACTAAGTAATTGGCCATATGAATCATGTGCTATTCATGTATTGTTCATGAATCAATCCAAGAGCCATTTAAAAATGACTAGCATCAGGGAAACTTAATAGCTTTTCAACAGATTATTTAAATGACTGTAGCTATGATTTCCAATAATTTTTATCCGAACAGCAAGGCTTTAGTAAGCTGTGGCAGGACTCTTTCCAAAAAGAGTAACTTTCTGATTAAAACCTTTTGTTACTGGATTTAAGAAATTAAAGAAAAAAGGGGAACGTCTGAGTTATGTATGCATCTGTCAAATCCTGGATCTTTATGGTGTAACAATTTGACCAATCACAGGTAAAAGAACTGGTGGTTTGGGAGGGATATATTCACTTTATGAATCATAGCTAATGACGTAGTTAAGTACTTTCTGAATAGGCACTTCCTGCAGACTGACCAATCTGTAGATTGTGTTCCTAGTAGTTTCTGGTGCAATAGTTTGGCATGCATGATGCATTTGGAGAGTGATTTGCCAGCATTCCAGCAACATATGCAACTTTAGCTGGGATTTCTTATTACAGATTAGCACCATTTCGAATTCCTTGATTGGTTGATTGTCTATACTATAAAGCCAGATGTATTTCACAGCATCAGCTATATTCATCTATTTCTTTTCTTGTTGTTGTGGCTTGAATCCTTGATCTGATTTTGCCAATGGCTACCTGGCCTCTCAACACACTGTTGCTTTTCAGGAATATTTTCTAATAATGACAACTGTAGTTAACATTTATATTTATACTGTACAATTATACTTAACTATTTACAATTTCAAAAAGATGCAAAACATTCATTAATTTGCCAAATAAAATCACTATGGAGTAGACAAATAGGATCATTACCCCCATGTTATAGATGAGGAAACTGAGGCTGAAAGATTAAATGTCTTGCCCAGTGTCACATGGCAAGTCTAGTGGCAGAAGGAGAGTTAAACTGAAAGTTACCCCTTCTGGGTGCATTCCTCAAGACCAGGGTCTCTCATATTTGTTTAATAGTGTAGACCACATCTTAGTAGAGGGATTCACTTGTGGACTCCTCCCTTCTCACTCAGGATCCCATGTGATCTCAACTACAGAAATTGTTTGCAAAGAAAAATAATATTAGGAAAGTGCCAGCCTGATGTGACCAGCCAACAACTCCCCGGTCATCAGCAAGTACTCTGTGGACCACCAGCAGTTCACTGATCACAGTCTGAGAATCACTACTTTAGCACTATATCTTGAGGTTTATTACTCTAGGTCATATTGACTCATGGTGCAGCATTGTTAACTAATCCTTTATTAAACAATTCTCCAAGCACAAATAAAGCATTTGGGTTGTTAACATACATAAGTTATATTAAAGAAGGTTTCAGATCAGCACATTGTATTTTGTAGCAAAGTCATAAAATATGCTAACATGATAACATCTAATGAGGGAAATGTTACATGCAGATGTCTGTTTGCCTATTATCCCATAAAATGACTGTATATTTTTATTTATATGAGTAACATCAGACACAAATGTGTTACCATAAATGCATTCATTTAGGAAAATGTATAAACACAATATGAATCTAATATATATGTAAAACTGTTTTAAAACCTGATATTTAATGTTTATAAAAAGAATAAAGATGAAAAAAATGTCCATAATTACATTTTTTTTTGTTACTCTTGATGAGACAAGAAATATAGGTTCTCAGCTGGCACATTATTTCTGATGTGGCAGTGAAGTGAAATTTGTGCCTAACATCATGTATCCTTTACATGATGCAAAGGAGTATAATTTTATTTTTGTTGTATTTAAAAGCTCTGTCTAGGCACATTGGCCACCAATTTCATTTCTACTGCAGTGCATGGATAGCGAAGTCACATATCCTTAAATTAATGCAAAGGGCATAAGAAAGAAAAGAGAAAGTATAATTTTTGTTGTTGCTGTTGTCATTTGAAATTTCCATAGTGTCTGTGCACATTGGGCACCATTTCATTTTTATTGCACTGCACTGATAGCAATGTCACATATCATTAAGTTAACACCAAGTAAGTAAAAAAGAAAAACAGAATTTTTTATTGCTACTACTGTTGTTTGAAATTTCCATATTCTGTGTACGTAATTTTTGTGGGGAGGAGGAAGTACCAGAAACTTTAATATACAACATAAAATGTTTGATTATTTATTTTGTACTGCTTCATGGTACAGCGGCTAGGAATCCAGTGCTACCTATATGGCCTATGCATGGGATAAGGATTTGGAAAACCAAGCCCCACATCAGGAAAATAAAAACAATTGCATGCCCCGACTCAGGCATGTATTGTTCCTCTCCTGGCTAGTCCTGTGTATCCCAGGGGGGCATGCCCCACACTTTGGGCAACACTGAGTTAATAAGTGATTATCCAATTCTGAACCCAGGTACAACTGCCAGTAAGGCAGCATTAGCAGCTAGGTTTTTCAGTACAGTGAATCCATTACCAACAATTGTCTCTGTATATGAGCGCAAAATTGGGTCCTTTATCTAATCTTTTAATCATTTATGTACTGTGTCTAACAATGGCTCTTCAGGATCGTACAAAATTTAAAACTCCTAACCTTGGCAGTACTCTGTAGTGGTGATGTAACCTAGTGTACATTTTAGATGAGTCACCTCTAGAAAGGTAGAGTACCAGAAGCCCACCTCTTGTAAAAAAAACCTGTACGTTTATGCCCGTAAGAAATAGTTATTAGAAATAGACACTAGGCCAGATTCTCTAGTATTCTGGGTCCTTTGTACTGCTTTTGTGGTGCAAAACCAGCTGGATCTGGACAGCTGAGAATTTGTCCAGCATGGGGACGGCCAGGGACCAGGACAGGGGTGATTGTGCCTAGGGATTAGACAGGGGTTAAGCTAGCAGGTAAACAGGCTACCTGTGGGTCCTTATTCCTAACAGTGGGATGCTATCAGCTGGTGCAGACCTGGCATACTCCGCTTCTGTGACATCCTCTTCCTTCTTGCATGTTGGGGGTAGGGTGTGTTGAAGGGGCTGGCTAGATCATGTTGTGCCCTGGCAATCCCCAGTTGGTATATGTTCCCTTGGAGACCAGTGCTAACTGGGGTAGGTTAGAGAAGCCCTCAGCAAGAATCTGGTCTGAGAGCCAGGAGGCCATATCTGCTTCTCTGCTGCACCAAGCTGACCTTTGGTGCAGCAGAGGATCTGGGCCATTGTATATTAACGCATGCTCAATGAAAAATATGTTTATGATGCAATGGCTTAAACACCCACTCTTATACATAAGGTTCCCTTCACTATGTCATAATAGGCTACATCACAATAAGACATGCCAACACATAAATAAGGTCAAACGAGATATCACTTAATTTCATTTTGAGTCTTGGGGAAGTCTCATCCTCTCCACCCCTTGCCACAGGATTCTTGTGTACATCAACAAATCTCTAACTCCAGAACGTCAAACATAATGAACGAAAGAGAAAACGGTCAGAGCCACTCTCATAGGTCCAACCATTATACTGAATTAGGAGAGTATATTAATCCCTGGACTTGCTGCTCTTGGTTCTTTGGATTGTGTCTATGAAATGCACACCTCTCTATGCTCAGCCCAGTGTAAGCCTTGGTTGCTAACTTGAGAAAAGTCAGTCATACTGTTGAACCCTACCAGTATTGGTTTTGGCTACCTGCCCATTCATCTTCCTTCTTTGCCTTGAGAAAGAGTTGTATGAGAGATAACAAGAGTGAAACTTTTTGTAGCTGGTGTTAGAAAGAATGGGATAGTGCAGCAGTTTTGGAAGAAATGCTGGAGCAAGACTATGCTAGGAAATCCTGAACCAAATAGTAAGAAGAAAAATTTTGCTACAGCTCTGATTTGTAGAAACCACATTTTAACATCTTTCTCAATTCTTCCATATGTTTTTATTTGTGTTGTCTATTCTTCTCTTGGACCTTTTGTATTATAATTGCCTGGCCCAGAACATTTTAAGTTATGAAAAACATACTTACCTTGGAGCTCCACAAAATCATGATTTTTTTCCTGGATATTTTAACAAGTTCAATGGGCCTAATTTTTATTGCTCTGTGCCTTGTTTAATCATTCATATTAATGTAAAATGGGTATACACACCATAATACTGATTTGGTCCTGTTTGATATCCACATTGCACTGGTGTAAATAACTACACAAGGTGAAGGGCTATAGAAAATTGGGCCCAATATGTTTTGCAGGGTAAGTGACACGCGGCATACTTTCATCAAATTCTTCATGTATTGGGTTTTAGAGGGTATTTTGCAGTAGTATCAGACTACTTCCTGCACTTTAGTTCCAGTCACCACAAAGATCGGCATCAGACTGATTTTACAGTAGAAAGCATTAGCGGACAGAACAGGTTTTCTCAGTATGTTAAACCATTGCCAAAATAAACTTCTAACAATCCACTTGCAATCTGAGCATTTCCTCGTCAATGGCACTATTTACTATATACTATAAAGTCAATGGAGTTTAATGACTATGGCTGAATTTGGTCCACCCTTTATCTGTAAAATCTCTAATTTACTTGTTCTGTCACAACCAAGCTGTCATAGTGATAGTTTCAGTTACCTGTGACTTCCTACACTAAAATTCCTCCAAACAAAAGTCTGTGTTAGGTTTAACAGAGAATAGGGTAGACCACTGGCTTTGTATGAATTTGGGGTTTCCATTTAAACACTTGTCATTGGGGCCTTCAGAGCGTGAACTCTGCTGGCATGGTTTCTGTCATGTTGTCTAGAGTGACTCAAGAGCGAGAATGCCAACTTCAGGGCAGCAGGGCACCAACCCCAAAATGATGGTGAATTCTATAAGAACTCACCAACCAAGTAAAAGAGTGTAAATTCTTTAGGCACTATACAGCCTTAACATGACGTCACTGACAGTTCCCTTGGGCATTTCGATACCAGGCAAACTTGAC